ACTGTTTAATACATCTTAGGCACCGCTCGCGTTGTGTTTTGGGCTTTGGAAAGGGAAAAAACACAACTTCTCCAGACAATCTCTCGGGGTATCATGTGTCCGATTTACTAACGCCGTGGGCGCACCGCTTACTGTTTGACGGAACAGCTCACACAGTAACGGTTGCTATGATGTGTGATTGGACAATGGCCATTTTGTGGGAGGGGCCGGCGAAAGGTCAATTGTACATTAAATGTCTGTCTTGTTTGAACGTGTTCATTTGTCTTGGCTCAAAACTGCTAAAAACTGCTTTTACTCGCGGTCGCGGAAGATTTGAGTTCAGTGAGCTAGTAAAGTACCTCAACTCAAATCAATATTTTGTGTTAAATTAAAATGACTTATGTGGCAAGTAGTCATGTAATAAGTGGCATAATGTACATCCAGATAGTTGTTATCGCAAAATAAATCCCTTCAGGGTGATACAAGACCCCTCCGCTTTAACCAGCTGGATGTGCATTATCACTTAACCAGCATTAAATTACTTAACCAATGACAAGATTTTAGAAAGGCTGCATAACTACAACAGTACCCTAAAATAATGCCTAGCTAATCACCATTAATCAGTTGTGTCCACTGACTAGGTGACATTAGCCAAAAAGCCATTTTCAGTTTTACAGTTCAATGAAAAATTACAAAAAAATGTTCCCCTTTGGAATAACATACACTGAATCATTCACAGGAATTTGTTTCAAGAAAGTCAATAGGGTCCATTTTGATTTAATGTTGACTTCAGTGAGGGAAACAATACAAAATCAAAAAACAATTCTCAGCGACTGAGATTAGGCTTAAAAATCGATACTCATCCATAAGTGTTGACACGCAGCAAACACAGAGCATGGTTTATTAATCTAAGGCTTGATATGAAATGACAAATCCATATTCAAATCCTTTCAAATCTCAGGAAAATTCTCATGTCATGTTTAATTTAACTATAATTGATTTCCCAGGTATTTCTCCTAAAAATCATTTAATAAAAAAGACGTGCATACCAAATCTCAGATAATTAGATTCCGGACATCTTGACAAATCTGAGCATTGTTGGTGTCGCTGAGTTGGCTTTTGAAGCTTTAGAGGAGATAAGCGAAATCACTAGGGTGGGTGGGGGTTTGAGGTGGTCTCGAATGATAAAAACTATAAAGCAAGAGGCAAAAGCAGACATCTCCATTTAATCTTTGTATGTAGTCTCATTGGCATTTTGGAAAAATGTGTGTTATTATATTCATAGCACAGATTCACAATACTTTCAGACAAATCCTTTAGGACTTGTCAAGTGGCTAAGGTGCTTCCAATTCTATTGACTTAGTCAGAGGAATCCTATAAATGCTTGTCAGTGCTACCTAGCTTGACGACACCTCAATTAGCTCCTTAATCAGCAGCCACAGCCTGACCTCCACTATCTTTAGCCTGTAATGATGGGATTTCTGAGAGCTAGGTTGCTACATGTCAGCTTATTTGACTTCCTCACACCCAATCCAAAATCAAAACACGGCATTACTGAGAGAGCGAAAGAAAGAGTTCATTCTGTAATGAAGTTCATTTCCAGACATTCAAAGTGATTATGCAGACTACCTTTTTACATTTTCTGGGGTTTTAACCACCATAGACCTTGATGGGGATCCGTCCACTTTGATATCTAGATTAGTAGACAATATGGGTTTTTTCAGTGACTAAGTCTGAATGGTTGTAATGCTGTTGCTAGGTTCTGGGTGACTGCTAGCGTGCTCTGAGTGGTCGACATAGCTTTGTGATGTGGTTCCTAAGATGTTCTAAACAAGCTAAAACGCATGATTAACCCCAAAATTGGTTAATTACACATCATTCCAAACTCATAAGACATTTGTTCATCTTCGGAACACAAATAAAGATATTTTTGATGAAATCTGAGAGCTTTCTGTCCTTACATTGAAACCTACGCAACTGTAACAAAGATTCGTAAAACGAATCTATATGAATTCAGCGGTTTAGTCAAACATTTTCTGAAGAGACCCGATCACTTTATAATGAACAGATTGAATTTAGGCCTTTATTCACATATAAACATTCATCAAATCACACAGAAGCTCAAGCATGATCACTTGACATGCAAGAACCAATGAGGTTCATTCTCGTGTTACGCAACACATTCCTCAAGAACCAATGAGGTTTGTTCTTGCACGTCAAGCCAGTACCATTGAACATCGGTTTATGTACACTGATGAACGTATATTTGTGTTTAAAAGCTTAAATTAAATCTGTTCATCATTTAAAGCGATCGAGTCTCTTCAGAAAATTTGGACTAAATCGCGATTTGCGAATTTACAATCTCTTTACGAATTTTTGGAATTGTTAAAGTGGTACTTGTCAATGGACGGACAGAAATTTCTTCATCTGTGTTTTCCGAAGATGAACGAAAGTCTTACAGGTTTGGAATGATATGAGGGTGAGTAATGACATCATTTTCATTTTTGGGTGAACTATCGCTCCCTGCACACAATTTGAGGTATACGCATGAGCAAGATTTCTCCAATAGGATTTAAAAATATCATTAATATTAGCAATTTCTAGTGTTGTTATTATGCATTTGTGGTAATTATTTAGCACAAATGGTATGGGGGGTTTGTCTCGCCAATAGGGCGGTCTGTGGCATTTAGACCTGGGCTTGTGTCCAGTGTGACTGCCAGAAGGGATTGCAGCAGCTTTTCCAATTAAAGCCTGGCTACTACCCCTCTCGCCTCACCTTGGATTACACACAAAATAATGCTGAGAAATCTGTAAACAAAAGACATACAGCACACAGTAAACGTATAAAGCGAGAGAATTTGAAAACGACATGCACACTAGATGTGATGCGACATTCAAGGTTTGATTACAAAAAGCCTGTGTAAAATGTTGAGGCGACGCCCATGACTGAGGTGGCCCACAGATATTCCCCTCCCTGTAGTGCATTAGTGCTGATTTATGAGTCTGTCTAATCCTATGGACAGAGTCCCTCTATACCAGTATTAAAAAAAAGAGGGACTACATCCTTATTGTGGTCACACAAACACACTACACACCTCGAGTGGTGCAGAGGGGGATTGGGCCTGGGCCACAGCTGACACAAGGGCTCCTACACATCCCCCCATGATGGGCAGAAATGACTCAAATGCACAGTCATACACCAGAACCCAGCAACTGAGATGCACTGAATCAGCAAGATTCCTAGTGTCACCGGTTCAGTATTACAGACAGCTCCTCCACTGCTTAAAAACTAATTCTGAAATCATTGACTCACTCTCATCTCATTACCAATCAACCAAAATCTTCTATCCAAGGAAAACAATATGAGATGTTTAGCAGAATGTCCAAACAAAAGCATATATTACAGTCTGTTCTTCACACAAAGCTTTCGTCTGGCTTCAGGAGATTTAGAATATTTGTATACATTGTTTGTATATTATATATATATATATGAAGAGTTCAGATGCAAAAGCCTCTAAGTGCCATTTGAAATTTTCTTCTAAAATTATGATTTTTATCAAGCTTGTATATTTAAGTTCAGTAATTTCCTTTAAATGGCAATCAAGATTACCTATTAATTGTCATTTAAGTGAAATTACTGAACTTAAATATACAAGCTTGATAAAAATGACCATTCTAGAAGAAAATTTAAAATGGCATTTAGAGGCTTTTGCATCTGAACTCTTCATATGTATATTTGAATATAAAGTCATTTGGACAACTATTATGGTGATTTATTGAAAGCCCCAGTCCCTATTAAAGAAAGCATTTTTTGTCAACAGAATCATAGTGGTTGTACCATGTAAAACCATCACTGTACCATGGTACTTCTTTTGTAAGGGAGAGACCTCCAATAAAGGTAGTCATAAGCCAAATGTCTGTTTGCCGTTTATGACAGGTTCAAACTTTTCCAATTGAGTTTTTTTGTTGGTTAATAAATTCTGATGTCACACTGTGCTGCAGTGTATACAGTCCAGTAACACATCACACATTGAATCACATACAACGAGAAGGATAAAATTGGTCATAGTGAAAGCAAATGGTCTCCAGGGGCAAGTCCGTATACCCCACTCCCCCCATACACCCGCCCAGAGTGCTCTGCGAGCCTGTTTCATTGTGTCTCTTTGGCACATGCTGCACTACAGCAAATTCAGGATGTGTCTTATACTTCACACTCACACACACTGCAACCTCCTGAGTATTAGAGAAGAGTATCCTGCAGTTTGAGTCTCCCAGAGACAATAAAGTTCCACTCACATTTGCAACCAATTCGCATATGAATAAATTTAAAATGGACAAGAACTAACCCAAAATGACCCTAATAGGAATTTTCTGGTAAGATTATAAAATATTTTTTCAGATATTTTAAAACACTTAGCTTCCAATATAGCTCCTGTGGGATTCCCAATAGGACAAAATATCTCTTGTCAATTTAAAAAAAAAAATATATATATATATATATATGAGTTTGTGATTTCTCTTAACTGTCCAGTAACAAGACGTTATTCCATTACAGTTGTAATAAAAATACATAACATATACCAGGACATAAGATCTTAATTGATTTTTTGAGGATTCTTATTTGATCCCTTTAGTATGGATTACAGATTAGAAATCCTGTAGGCGGCACATTCCTTTAGCATTTTTTGATTAGGGCAAAATGTTCCTGGTATAGAGATAAAGAGATATAGTTTCTTTTTTTTACTATTAGCCTATATTTTACTTTATTATCACTTATGTTGATGTGTTAAATGTAGAAACATATGGTTATATATATATATATATATATATATATATATATAGGCATGCTGCCTGCCTCGAACCTTGAACCACCTGACTGGTCACCCTCTAACATTCCCAAAAATCTGTCTTTATGCATCTGACATTAAAGTAACTCACAAGACATTAGCATAACTACACGAAATACGTTTCGATCAACACGTTTTCCTTTTAAAGTAAAAGTGTACCGGCGTTTGACTTACCAGTGGTACAGTGCTCTGCTGCTGCTGTGTGAGTGTGTGTGGGTGGGCGTGGATGCTGCAGGATCGCGCTGCTCTCCGTGTCTTTGTCTGCCGCTTCAGCTGCTCTGCCTGCGATGCCTCTCTACCGGCACACCGCGCGGTCCTAGCGCCGCCCCGCACACGCCCACTAAGCACAGTCAACACCCACTGCAGGCTGCGTCCAGAAACATCTGCATTCATGTGTTAATACACCCTTAACGAGTCAATAACTCAACTTGAAGCTGAATGTGCTGCAGTTAAAGATGTTATTGACTACTGACTACACAATTATTGACAATAGGCTACTTAATACTGCTTAGGCCTACTATTTTCAATCAATAGTTTGTGGAAAAAAGTATGAAAAACTTTCACAAGAATACTACATTGTGTTTAATCAAAAAAAAAAAAAAAAAATCCAGTTATCATCCTAGTTGTTATTTAGGCTAATTGACATTCATTGTTTGAAATTACATGCGGGTGAGTAAATAATTACTTTTTGTTTGTCTGTCACTTTAATAAAACTGCAAAGAACCAAACCTTGTAGTGGAACGCACTGCAATCAACGTTCAGAATAGAATAGCTTACCGTGTTCTGAAAGTTGGCACATTGAAGGCCGTATTAAAATGATAGTTCACTTTGAAATTAATTTTTTATATGTTTTAGCTTACCTCAAGGACATCCAAGATGTAGGTGTCTTTGTTTCTGCAGTATTTTCAATATTGACATTTTTCGGTCAAACCGTTCTTGTCTGTCAGTCATATAATGGAGGTTTAGGGGGTCCACGTCAAAGAGCATGCATAGAGAAGTCCAAATTAAACATTGACAGATTTAATGACTCGTAAATGTAAGTACACATTGATGGCCTAAGACAAGAAACGAGCGGTTTGTGTGAGAAAACGAACAGTATTTATATCGTTTTTACCTCTTAACAGCCATGTCCAACTGATCTGAATCAGATGTCCAACTGAACCGAACTGAACCATGTCCAACGTTCCACCGGAAGTGATCGCTTAGCGTCTACGTCACTCGTTGTTTACACAGAGATTTCTGAAATTTTACCTTTCACTGTGAAGATCTAAACATATTTAGATATATGGGAAATCGCAATGGAAGACGATTTCGATATATCTAAAATATGTTTAGTGAAAGGCCCCCCCACCTCCCATAAGAAAATGTTAAATATTCCATATTTTAATGCATCAATCTGATGCATTTTGAGATGCATTTTTTGCCAACCTGGGGAGAGTTGGAGAAACTTAACTTTAGCCATGAGTCAAATATATTATGGCCTCCTTAGAGTTAGCTTTATATATCGAATTATACCGATCCGATACCTGCTCAATTTCTATAACTCTGTGTTGAACTGATAATCACTATTATCTACTTAATACAGACAACTTCATTATAAAGAAAACAACAAAATAAATAAATAAATAAATATGATCATAACCTATGACAAAAAATCTATTATAAACTAGATTAGTGGGTAACTCAGCAGTAAAATTTAGTGCACAATAATTGTATAAAATCTGAACATTTAGTGAAAAAAACATTAGCCTATTTAGTGGGGAATAAATAAGAGACATTAAATCTGTTAAAACATTTTAATGTATTAAGTTTAACAGAACTGCTTCTTCATTGATTTTGAAGTCATTTTCTTTGTTACCATCTCCACTTCTTATAATATTACTCGACATTCTCTGTAAACGATTCGCGCTACGGTAGCATTTTTCGACAAGGCAGCACAAATCGTCAGAATAGATTCATTTTCTGTAGCCATTTAAAAAATGAATGACACTTTTGCGCGCACTTGTTGTGGACCAACTCAACTCTGACAGATTGGGGAGGGGGAGAGAGTGGTAGTGGTCATTCAATCTTTATTTATTTATTATTTATTATTATTGTTATTATTGTTAAATTAATGAGTTATGTGTGGTCTTTCAAAAATGTCAAGTTAATAACATAGCAATTTATGAAAAATATATTTTTTAAGCTTGTCATGTGGTGCCCCCCTAGTGGTTGTGAATGGTTGGTGCCCCTGGGCACTGGCCCAAGTGCCCTTATGGATAATCCAGCTCTGTGTGTGCCTATATGTTTTATTTTTTTCCTCTTGTGTTGTGTAGGGGTATAAGAAATCGCTAACAAAGCGACTTCAGTGACAAAAGAACTTATATAGGCCCAAATATTTGAAAGACCGCTTGAGTCTACTATAAACATTTACATCATCACATAATTTCCTGTTTGCAAAGAAATGGAAGAAAGTGGAAGTAAATAAGGGCAGTTGTGCCCTAATGTTTAGAGAGTCAGGCCCTGTCCCAAATGGCATACTTCCCATGCCCTTATAGACTTGTGGACTTACAATGGCTGCTACGTGCGCATGTCCGTTAAGTCCATGAGACCTAGTAGGGTGTCCCATTTGTCATTTTAAGTGTCGGAAGGGTGCTCACGAGCGCTCTCTTTACAGTCGAGATGTGCCCTCGCCGAGCCCCTAGTGAAGCTCCGCATTAGACTTCTTCCCAACAGTCAAAGCGGCATTATGTCACGAAAGTGCAGACTCGTGGGAAAACCAAGAGTGTTTAGGGTGCCATTTGGGACAGGGCCTCAGACTGGTAACCCGAATGTTTTGGGTTCGATTGTCAATATCAGCAGGAAACGGCTGGAGTGCCTTTGAGCAAGGCTCCTAACCCCCAATCGCTCCCCGGGCGCCATTGGAAAATAGTAATCCGGGTTTGTGTTCACTACTCACTACTCATAATATGTGTGCAGAGGACAATTTCCGAGTATGGGTTACCATACTTGGCCTTCACATCACTTTCACTTTAAGAAACAAAGGAAGATTGTAGGGGGAAAAGACATTTTGTTTTATTCCTTGATCTAGTTTAATCCCCCGTTTGCATATTGGTGGCTATTTACCTTTGTTTACATGAGCAATTCTGGCATAATTTGAATTCCTTGGTCTAGTTTAGACCTATGTTTGCATGTTGGCCACATGAATTTGAGAAATACAATGCTCTATGATTTTTTTACCAAGCATATTTTCTCATTATTTTCCACACAGGTAGGCTGTGCACAGATTTTAGAAACTGTATTCATAATCATCCAGGACCAGAACTTGTATATTTGATGTTTATCAGTGACACTAATGCCATTGCTTACTAGAGAAACTAGCCTAGATATACATTACTTTGAACTGAAAAACTTATAAAGAACAATTTTACAGTAAAATATCACTTTGTACATATTTTCAACCGCATTAAACATCATAAAATGCAGCATCTGGCACAGGAGAGTGGCATAAAAATAATGATATATTAATGTACAACAACAGAAGTGACTTATGTTTTACATGTCATTAGCTGCATAACAATTGTTTATTTTTTATGTTTAAGAAATTATTGAAAGGACAATTAATGTCTATCACTGTATTGTCCATTTGGTTGGGTTTGAGAATTTCAAATCTAGTGACCAGTTACACTGTTGTAGCAGCTTTCTGAATGTTTTCAATACTCTATATCTAGTTTTAACAAAATTACATTATGTAAAAATACAATAATCTTTAGGTTTGTAACTTTGGCATCACCTTGATATTAATGTCATTTTATTTATTTTTTTATTTTTTTAATTTTAAAAAAATCCTTTAGTAACACACGCACTTGCAAGCACTTTTTTTTTTCGTTTCTTTTTCTTTGAAGTGTCCATAACAGTAAAACCTGCATGTGCGGGTTAAGGGACACAGTCATTCATTGCTCATTGTACAGATGACCTCTTCGCTTCAAAGATTCAAAGATTTGGACCAAATCATTGAGCAAACACATGCCCTGTGATGTGTCAAATCGATGATAAAAGAAGATTACTGTGCGACATTATAACCTTTTACGTCTAACACACTCACTCACACTCAACCCTTTTAGTGGCAACAACAGTATGTGAGCACAGTATTTGGATTCATGCCAAGGTTAGCGCAGTTGCCAATAGAAACCACAGTTGGATGACACACTCATCACTCATTATTTATGTCTACTGACAATACAGAAACTATATGTGACATCACCGAGTTTGAGTATGATCAAACAACTTAGAGCAACTCCAAAGCATCATGGGCAGGTTTGTGTGTCTACATGTCTCTATATACTGTATGATGACGGTGTCTGTGCTTGTGTGTTTGGGATGAAAAAGACCATTCACATCACTTTCTGACTCTTGACCTACCTGTGCTTAGGAATTTTGATACTGAAACACACCTCAGTGAAAATAATAGCCAAAAGAAGAGGCTTTGCCTATTCCAGCCAAGTCATTCTGACACACGAAAGCTTGTTATCCCCGTCCCTTCTAATGAGGTTTAATTGGCCTTAACTTCTCTTGATTTTTCTGTAATGGCAGAATAAAAACAACGAAGAAGAACACACAATAATGCACACACACTCACTGGACATTTTAATCATTTAATAGTGCTAATTATTCTGTGGCATGTCTACCTCATGTCTTTTGTGTCGGTGTTAAGATACAATTGTTTGAAATTTGTGGTTTGCATAAAATCATTCTATCTTTTTCTCTTAATTCCAGATGTAACAACGAGATAAAGTAGTTTATTTAAGCTTGACATGGGCTGCGTTTAACACCACTTTTAGACATACACATAAACTTCCCCAAAGGAATCCCTGCCACCATTTTGAAGGGGATTAAACTTCTTCAACAGGGGAAGTTTTTGTTGTACAGACCCTTGACCCATTGATTATGACAGAGGGAGCGAGTCTACTCATACATACACTTCAGGCAGCTCCATAGACCACAATACAACACGATTGTGACGTCCCAGCAGCAACTCGCAGTTCTCTTACTTAATATACCCACAAGTGATCAAGGGCATTCCATTTAAACCCATTGCAAGAGTTCTGGCACTCGTGCAACAGAAGCAATTACTTACTGTACATCAAAGTGAACGAGAAGGACAGAAGTTAGCAATGGAAGGGCATAATAAAGTGTATAAATTAGTTAAAATTAGCATTAATCATTTCTTCCACCCTCATGACGTTCCAAACCTATATGGCTTTCTTGTGTAACAAAAAAAAAGAAACTAAATAAAAGCAGTTT